GTGGGAGCAGGTTAGAAAGAGCAAAACTGCAGTAGCAAATATTTTCTTGAAAAAATAAACAATGTCCAAAAACACCCATCCCTGTTTCACACCGATGCCAGCGAGAAAGCAAGTTCTCACAGGGCGTTAGCTCAGCCGTGGCAGCACGGAGGGGAGGCATGAACAGGCACTCTCTCCTCCCAGCTGAACAGGAACTGGGTTTGCTTTCTCTAGCATTTCACAGAAATAATCAACCAGCAGCAACGACACCTGTGAACCCCAGCCCTGGAAACCACCATTCCTGGGAGCATGGCAGCGTTTTGTCTGCTGGCATGGCATCACTGAGATCTGGGTGTAGATGGGGAGGAGAGGGGCCGCTGGCATCCCCCTTGCTGCAGGCAGGTCTCAGCAGCATCAGCGCAGGATGACCAGGTCCCACGGTCATCTTCATCATCTCCATCATCATCATCCCCATCCTACCCAGCCAGTATGACAGATCCCCCCCAGCGCAGTGGTGCAGCACACCATGGCAGCAGTCGGACAGGCTGACACCCTGGCAGCCACGTTGCCCAGCGAAAAGGGGTCGGACAGCCACCCCATCTCCCCTCTCTGACCATTACTTCTGTTTATCTTTCTGACGAGCACGGCGCAGGCGTAATTCGGTATGCGCTTGGAAATCAATACAAGGCCAAAGCAACAACTAGAAATGTTGCAAGAGAGAGAGATTACAGCCCTGCCCAAATCAAACACTGAGAAATTCCTGCCCAGGCCATAACAAGCGACCTCTGCAGCTCTGCTGCCCCGGGATCGATTGAGAGTCTACTCATGTCACAAGGGGTTAGGGTGAGGAACAGCTTGGGGTTATGATTTTGGGGCCCCTTGGAGTGTTCAGGGGGCTGTCACCTCTGCGACAATCATCCTCTGTGAACTTGCAAAGGCTCCATGGGAAAAGGAAAGGCTTGTGTGAAGGGTTGAGTTGGGAGATGGGTTACTCTGCCATTTCATCCTCTCCCCACCCAGGCAGATGAGCAGCTACAAAAGCCCTCTGAGCAGCTCTCCCCCTTTCAGAAATGCCTTTGGCTCTGTCGAACAAGCTGCATGTGGGCAGCCCCCTCAAGCCCTGGCTGCGTGTGAACAAAAGCGGTCTGTGTTTGCAGGACCGGGCAATGGTTTTGCTCCAGGGAGTCTCACATTCACGTGCTGCCTGCTATGCTTAGGAGCAGAGTTTCACAGCAGCTGGAACTGCCAGCTGGTTTGCAGCACAGCAGCGTACATGGCTCTGACCTGCAGGACGTGGGGAACACGTGCCCCAAGAGCGCAGTTGCTTGGCCCCTTCCCCATGCAGCACCGCGCCAGGCTGTGGGGCTGGCTGTTGGTCCCTCTGTGGAGTGGGTCCCCGGGACACTTGCCTCTTACAACCAGTCCCTCTGACGGTAGTGGCAGGTACGGAAAGCCAGTATCCACCAGGGTCAGACCGAGCACTGGGACACTTTCCCGAGCTAAAAAATGATTGGTAACCTCAGTGTTAAGTGCCTGCTCTCCATCCTCCTGTTTTTCTTTTCTTTTTTTTTTTTTTTTTAAAGATGTCCTTAGGCATATGGGAAAGACAAAAAAAATTGCTTAAAAAAATTGAACCACACATTTTGTTGGCAGAAAAAGAAAGAAGTCTCAGCATCATTTTTGCTCATGCTACGAGGACATCAGTTGTGGGGGGAAAGCCTGTAAGGTTTCAGAAAACCAAGGTTAACCTGCTCTTCCTGTCTGAGCTGAGCACCGCTTCCTCCCTCCCAACCCACTGGCAGGGTGAAGAGCTAACGGCTGGGGAGAGATGCTGCTGTTCACCCTGAAACCTTTCTGCCTATGTCTGGCATCCATAGGGAGCTGGGCAACTCTTGTGATTCCCACAAGACCCAGAGTAAAATGTTGCTGAACAAACAGATTCTGTAATTAAAAAAAAAAAAAAAAAAGAGAAAAAGAAAAAGAAAATTTGTATCTGATTTTGTAAACATTCTCCCCATTGGATGCAAATACTCACTGACTTTGGACGTCCAGTTCTGAATTTGCCTCCATGAGTTCTCTGCTATTTTTCACCATCCATTCCAGCAGCCATCCCAGAGCTGGCTTTTTATAATTCAGAGTATTTTAAACTATGGAAAAGGAAAATGCAGGTACCTTTTGGGGATTAAGAAAACAGCAACATCAGTGCATGGAGATACAACAATCAAGAGAAAGGAGAGCCAGGAAAACAAGGGGCGGCTCTACAGCAGTCATATTTTGTCCTCTTGCAGAGTCAGCTGTGGAGGGAGGTGTAGCACTGCCGAGGATATGTGTATGGATGGAGGGCAGTGTGTCCAGCTCCTGGTGTGCAAATCCAGACATACTGATACCTAAATACAATTGGCTTCAACAGACTTGTAAGAAAACCCTAAAAAAATGCAGCATGGCTCCTTTCCAAAGAGCAGACATTTGCTGAGGTGTAGCTGCCCAAGACAGTCTGATTTTCCACATAGCTGCGCATGGTCTTCTAGCTGCGTGTTGGTAAAACATGGAAATAAATTGCTCAGTTTTGTAAAGTACTGGGGGGTGAAAATGTAAGCACATTTTGACTTATAAGGCATTATTACCAAGATAGAGAGTAGCCACATTAAGAGTGGTAAAAATGAGATGGAAAACTAGATCTTGCTCAGACTTTTTTTTTTTTTTTTTTTTTGACAAGTTCACTCACTGTTCCTATAATCAGCAATGCTGGTGCAGCCAGAGGATTTCTCATCAGTCAATACTGTATGATTGTTTAATTTTAATAGTCGTGATCAATACAATCCACTCCTCCTTGAAATGCTAATGAACACTTTAATACAACAGATGTGGACAGACAGTACATTGCAGACTAAAATTAGGCACAGCACTAAATTGCTTACAAACAGCAGAGGAATCCTGCTGGACATCTTGACAATCAACCACAGGCAGCTGATAAATCTTGAATTGCCACCACCAGCCCACAGTGTCTGCTGGGCAGGGCCTTGTTTTCAGGCTTGTACAACTATACCACCATCTTCATCACCCTGGAAGAGAAACGTACCTTTCCAAACTCTTGCAAGTTCTTTTTGGGATTTGTGCAGGTCCAACTGTGAAACAAGATCTCGCTTCCTGAGATGCATATCCAAATTTTAGTAACACAAGCACATTTCTAGCAAGTGCTCTCAGGTGCAGTTACTATCCGCTGGTATTCTCCAGCCCATTTTGGTCATAGCCAGAAACGTTAGGGAAGGATCCCCAGCCTAGACAAAATCCCAGTCTCCCGCTAAGTTGTGACAGAGAAACATCCAGTGGTGAACTGTCCACATCCCCCAAACTAGTTGTCAGTTTCAGTAAACCAAGGCCAGAAGCTGGGTTACTGACTAGCTTTCAACCAGTTTGAAGCCACAAGAAAGCAGCAAGCTTTGTTATCGCAGAGCTTCACGTGCAGCCCCATTCACTTCCAGGTAAAGCTTCTTACTATTTTTTCTGCTCTTAACTGTTGTCAGAGGAAAAGGTGCTTAAATGACAGAGATCCAATTCCTGATTCCTGGTATCAGTTGTGTCCTGCTCCAGTGGTTTCAGTGGACCCTGTCCTGAATTCTTGAAATGTGAGTCCCAGTTCACTCTGGTAGGTATTGGGAAACACACCATGGGGCTCAGCCCTCATTGGGGCTGGTGGGAATCAGAGGGAGGAGAGCTGCAGGTACCCCCAGGAGTGGCCTTTGTGTGGAGCAGGGAATTTACATGTCCTTTCCAGTGTCCGGTAGTGATGGAGCTATGGTGATGGGGGTCACCAAGGGGGTGCTGTGCCAGCAGCTCCTCCAGCATCGCTCACAACTGCGTGCCAGTGAGCACTGCTTGGCATGGATGGTATGTAGCACCTTGTTCAAAGGCATCTCTAATTTACAGTTTCTTGGCTTTCAGAGGGTACTACATGTTACTTTGGGTTCAGCTTCCTTTATCTGTTTCTTTCTTTTCCCTCTCCCCCCCTTGCATCTTGGGAAACCCTAACTTTTTTTTTTTTTTTTTTCCTTTTTAATTGTGTGAAATCAACTTGGAGTGAAAAGGCCACGAAGAAACTTTCTGACGCCAATTGAGTCTACAGCTGTGTCTTTGTTCTCGGTGGAGCTAAAGACCACATTAATCAGAAACTTTGCTGACCTTGTCTTCACTACCTGAAGACTGAAAGACAAAAGCGACACAGTCTGGCCACATTTAAAAATTCAATTAAAAAATGCCTGCTGCACAGGGATAAACATTATCATAGACCTCAGCAGGGTTAGATGGAACTATGATAAAGGCAATGCCTTTTTCTCCCTCTATATTTTTTTTCCCCAGCAGAATAAAGCCTAGTTTTGGTTTCTTCTTCTGATTAGGACAACTGTGTATGTGACAGAGTGTGCTCAGTGGTGTCAGGGCTTTTAGTAAAGAGCCAGGTGAGAAATTCCTGAGAGGGGATGGTAAGCTGGAAGTGGAGAAGTGAAGCTACTGGAATGGACTGGAAGAAAAATCTCCCTGTGTTTCTGTTTTTTCAGACTATGCTGGTCTGATAAAAATACTACCTCTTCCTATAGCCCTGGCAGAAGCAGACTGAACAAGCGGTGAGGAGACCCGGCTCAGAGCCAGACTTGGCGTCTGCAGACAAGCGAGGTGAGGGGAGATGTAGCAGCACAACTCCTTCGCTAAGGATGAAACGGAGAGCCTTTCGTTATGGCACCCAGCTGTGCCTTACTGATTTTATTATTGAAATATTAAGCAAATCAGTGGATATCCAGTGAGCTGAGAACACCAGCAGCCAAAAGGAGGGGAGAAAATCAAATTAATACCCTTGGCGCTGATCGTGACAGGAGAGGCGGGCAGCTCTCCCCTTCCACTGGCAGGCCCCGGGCCATGCCGGCCAGCGAGGGAGGTGGTGTCGCGGCTTCAGTGCGGCAAATTAAATAGGAGCAGGTGTATCTTCTCTAGGTTGAATGTCCAGTTAAATAAAGGGGCAAATTCCTCCCTCAGAACGTCCTCCGGCCCCGCCAGCTCCCTCTGGGCCTCTCCTTCCCCGGCTTGCCGGCAGTCTGCCTGTGAGGCTTCTTTGCATGCTGCACCTTTATCCAACCCCCCTCGCTGACTCTGCTCTCCCCTTCGCCCCTCCTGAGCTCGCTCTCGCCCTGCGGGGGCATGCCCGGGATGGCCGTGGGCTGGGGGGGGCTGCGGGGGTACCTGCGGTGCTGGGAGGCCAGGGGGGCTGCTGGCGAGGAAGTCCTGCAGGCTCTTCCCGAGTGCCGGGGGGGCACCGGGGAGCTGGTCCCGCTGCGCTGCCCGTCCGAGGAGCTGCGGGAGTTACCGCTGTGCGAGGCGTTTCTGCCTTTGCCGGCCGACCTGTCCCTCTCCGAAGGGGTGTCGGAGGCCGTGCTGGAGGTGCTGCTGCCTTTTGAGTTCACGTGCATATTCGAGAGGTTTCTCATCAAACTGTGCGAGAGGGGAGAGGAGTTTCTGGAGTGACTGATGGACGTGAACTGGTAACTGACAGGACCGCGTGTCCTCCTCACGGCAGCGGCGTAGGAGTCCTGGCTGCGAAGGTAGGGTAGGTAGTGGGTGACAGTGGTTGGGCTGTGGGGGTGGCCATGCTGGAGGGAAATGGCTTTCGCTATTTGGTGCATCCGCAGCGTCTGCATCCACTGGCTGTCGATGCCTGGCAGGGAAATGGAAACAGTCAGCTTTCTGTCAGCTGATGGAAAACCACTCTCTGGTTTCCCGAAGGTGTGAGGTTAGGTACCAGGGTTTCTCTCAGAAGAACCTCAACATACCTCAGACTGCCCTTTCCCTCCCAGCCTTGCAGCAAATAGTCCTGGGTTTGAGTATGTTCAATGTTGTGGTTAAATACAATGTTGGATTTCTAAAATAGCAAGTGATGCAAGTATTTCTGATGCCAGTGCAGATTATGGAGCTTAAACCAGAAGACACTTTACTGAACCATCCATTTGGCTGTCCAGGTGGGTTCCCACTCCCAAGTGCCTCCCAGTGTTTTTAACCCAACCTGGTTTTAAGGATTTCCTGTGATGCTCTTGGCAGCCTTGGCAGGTTTCTCCACAGCTTTCATTGCAAAAGAGCCTGGAGACTTCCAGAGCAGGCATGGAGCAGGCACCCCAAGGTGCCAGCACTGCTGCAGCATCGCCCTCCACTCGCGCCTCTCCCAGCCAGCACGGTCACACCGTTCACAGCCAAGCGCAGAGACGGAGCCAGTGCAGACCTCAGTGCAAATCCCTGCGGCGGCAGCCAGCCTCACCTCCTTTCGCTCCATTTTCTCTTCAAACTGCTATACACCACAACAACCAGAGACACTTCAGTTGTTATTACTACTACAAATTCAGAAGTCAATCTACTTTGCATGCTCCAGATACTGAGTCTCAGCCCCAGCTACACTGCTCCGTCTGGCTTCACGCAGAAAATCAACTCTGTATGTAGAAAAGCTGGTGAGGCAGCAGGCTTCAGCCTGGATAGCTCAGACAGTGCTTAACTGTGAGCGACTCGGGGTATTACAGTTCCCTCACACCTACTGTCGCAGCCCTGGGCTCATAACACAAGTTGGAGCTCCCAGAGATCAGACTGAAGCACTTTTGAGTCAGTCCTGTGGTTTGCATGAAAGCCTCTAGCAAATACAATAGTTGTAAATTTTCCATTTGAACTGCGAGGGCTGCCTGGTTTGCTACTTTATGGGTAGAGCAAAGACCAGGAATTCCTCTTATCTGAGGCCACAGCCCTGGCCAAAAATCCATGGGGAGCAGCTTAAATAATTTTGCTCTAGAGAGATTTGAATGATTTGTCCTTAAAGATTGCTAATATCATTCCAACAGGAAAGCATAATCTCACCAGCTTGAGGCAGCATAAACGCAACCAAAATGTTATCTTCTTCAACAGAGGACCCCAGCTCCTCTCTCGCCTTTTGCTGGTTTTCCAGGGAAAGACTTCCTATGCCATGGACCCTCTGCCCCTCGCAGCAATGCTGCATCGGCTGTGGGGAATTTTGTGGGAGCTGAGTAGCCGCTCTGTCCTCGTTAGGAGGATTTCTCGTTAGGATTGCTCCTGTTAAGATGTAATGGATGGTCTCTTCCATTCCTCCTTCCCCCAGACTTTGCCTGAATCCCAAGAGATTTAAATCACTTCAACTTAATGCCAAATATGTCAAAAGGAAACTGTCTTTCCTGTCAAAGTGCGAGTGTGACGCTGTCACAGCAGATAGCTCCAGCTCCACTGAGAGATGAACCTCCTTTCATGGAAAGACAGATGGGAATTGCCTTCTCTGCTTCTTAACCTCCTTGAAAGTCACATGCATGCCGAAATGTACTTGCTAGACACCATCTCTGCCATTCCCCCGTGCCCTCCTACCAAGGCTGTGGATGTAAAACACACACCTCGCAAACCTGGAAGCAGCAGGCTCAGAACTTGAGTTTGGGTCTTCATTTGTTATCAGCTCTCAGGTGGCTACCACATGCCCTGTGGGACCAGTGCCGATGCTGTTCTGAACGAGGGGCTCCCTTCAGCGCCTTCAGGCTGTTCAGTCCCTGCTCCTTACGGCCAGCCATGGTCGCCAGCCCAGGGACCAGCTGCCTGGCAGGGACCTCCCAGTGTGCCCCATGGGGCTGCCTCTCGCCTCTTGCAGGCTGCGGGGCTTCTCCCTCATATGGTCTCTCAGCCACCAACTCTGTGCACTGAATTAAATGCTGTGTGTGGCAGCCCACAGAGGTAGTACCTTCACTGCTGGTCATTTTAGCCTCTTAGACAGGTATCGCCCTTACCTTTGTGCTTGGATTTGGTGGTGTTTTAAACCTAGGGTAGCTGGTCTAGTAAAGAAGACAAGCCAGAAGGTTTGCTAGAGCTGAGGCACAGCTTTCACGCTGGCTGGTAAACCACCTCCTCTGAACTGTGCCTATTCACTTGGGCGCTGACAATACATTGGTGCCTTCATGTAACTTCTCCATGTGCCAAAGGGACAGACACGCTCTCCCATTGCTCACCACAAAAAAATGAAAGCAGCTCGGCTTACTGCAGCAGAGCCAACCTGTGAAGATACAACACCACACTTTGCTATGGCTGTATGGCCCATCACCCCAAAAGCAGGGTAAGCTCTATTAGCAGAGCTAATCTGCAGTGAAGATGTATCTTTTAGGACATCGTCTAGCTCCCATCTGCATTACAAAACACAGTTGTGTTGCAAATGGATCACAACTGCTTTGGAATATGAGCACCCATTTTAGATGTGCCTGCAGTCTAAACCCAGCACCTCTCAATTCACAATGCCATCCTTCTGCATTTGGCAGCAGGGTACAAAATCGGAGAAGTTCACCCTCCGCTGACTGGTATCTTGTTCCAGCCTCCCGTACTGCCCTTCAGCTGTCCCAGCCCAAACACTTCTGCAGCGTTACTGTGAACTCAATCAGAAAAACAACTTTGGCTAACAAAACACCTTTACTAAAAGAACAGCAGATCTTAAAGGCAGAACTGTGCTAGAGTCAACTGAGTTGAATTTGACTATGTCAGCGGCATACTTTACTTAGGAAATGAAGACTGCAGTGTAGAGTTTGTATTATTAAATGTATCTCACTGAACAAGCCAAGCCCCAGAAGCCACAACAAACACTATTCCCGAAGTCAAATAATGACGAGCCAGGGCTGGCTCAAATGGGCAGGCTGAGCTATGGAAGAAGAGTGCAGTGGGAAGATTTCCACTGTTCCTCACAGCAGAGCGGGACATGAGGAGCTCCTATGGGGTCCGCCAGGCTGGCAGCATGTACCTGTCAAAACAGGGCATCACCCGCAGGGGACTTTTTGCCACCTGACATGCAGCTTCTGAGGCTGCAGCCTTGGTACGTGTGTCCCCTCTGCAAAAGCACTGGCCAGAGCAAGAGCAATCTGCACCCACACATCTCTTCCAGGAGGTGCCCTGTATCCCAGCACAACATCTCTGCCAAGTTGCCTGTGTGCTGGATGACCAAGAGCAGGAGGAAGGAGCTGGCCGAAACACTCCTCCTGAGTTTGGGTTGCAGAGAGAGAAAGCCAGGATAGAAGCTGCTGAAAGCACTGGCTCTTCAAATCCTCAAAACAGTTGTGGAAAACTGCATTATTCCCAACAGATAGAGGGTAGAGATGTGTGAGGCTGTCTCCTTTCCCAGCAGATGCCTTCCTGACATCCTGGTTGAGAAACACATCTTCACCCCAGGCCTTGCACACTTCGTGTGGGTGCTGTAATTCAGTCCAAATCCTTTTGCTATGCCAGTATACTTGGCTCCACAAAGCTGAGCGCTCTCTTGTTGTCTGCTGTTGATGTGCAATTGCAAGTGACTACAGCAGATGAAAGATTTGTAGCTAATTGCCATGGACTGCTTCCAGCATGCTTCCTATAGGAGCATACAGGTCATCCCCCTTAAATCACATTGTGATATAGAACATGCTACTACCCAAAGTTTAGCCTTCAAGCTAAGTCAGACATGCCAGGGTACTCCTGCATGCATCTATGAAGACATCACAGGGACCAGAATGCCAGCTGACACTGCAAGATGTGCTCTGTTGTTGGAACAGAATACTGGCATTGACTTTTTCTGTTCTCCCCATATACGCCTTGCCAGTGTCAGCAATAAAGTTCACGTGTACTGACTTACTTGAGTTGGATCTGCTCCTTGAATTCCCCTCTGAGTTGGGGAGTGAGGTCTGTATCATGAGCTGTACTGTCTCGACCTCGTCCTGCGCTTTCATCTTGCTCCAGCAGATAGCTTGGATGTGCCTGGTGGTTTTGGGAGCTCTAACGTCACTCTGCCCAGGAAGGATACAACACACATGAGGACATAACGCACATGAGGACATAACAACACACAACCCACTAAGCTCTCCTACGAGGGAGCTTCCACTGGTGCCTGGGCAACAGCAGCATTTTCAATATAGAGTCTGTTTTGCAAGACTGGCAGCAGCGTTTTCAATACAGAGTCTGTTTTGCAAGACCACTTAGCCAGTGCTCAAGTATTTTTAGACTCTAGATAATTTTGGCTGTTATTTTGCGATTATGCTAAAAATGTGGCAGTGAATAACTGTTTCAATTCGTGTACCATGTGGAGGAAAGATCTGAAGGCCTTCCTCTACAAACACAAAAATACATTTTACTAGTTATATTCATGTGAGCGTCAAATGGGCAGTGCTTTCTGCTGAAAGACGAAGGACTAAGCAGGTATTTTTGCAGGGGGACCCTCCACAAAACTCTCCTGGAATACCAAGGTCTTCAATTTGCTGTTAAGGGCCTGTGACTCCTGTGAGAAGCTTCAGGCTGAAAGAAAACTACTGTTCTTCGCTTCTGAGATGGGTAAGCAAGGTGCAGGATTTCCCTGTCTCTCCATCACTGCTTGAATCCTTGCTCAGGACAGAGCTGGAATCTCAATTATTAGCCTCCTTGTGATGCACAGCATTAGTGTTTGTAAAAACACTTTTGTAAGTAACTGCAAACTCTTTTTACAAAGGCTAATTTCTATCACATTAAATTGTCTTCTGGGTTTTATTTTATCTTATTTTACTCTTGACTTCTCATTTTCTTTCTTCTCCTGTTGGTTCTCTGCTCTAATTAGCACTTCATTGAAAAGGTAAGAAACAGTCTCGTCAAGTAATGCAAACAACACTGACCATTACACTTCAAGGAAAAGGAGTTCTTGTCCTTGAGAAAAAGAGCCATCCCAGGCAGCAGTCTGAGGACATTGTCTCTGTAAACCTCATTCAGCTTTTGCTCTGAACTTTAGATTTTACAATCAATTACAGGCTGCTGAGACTTGATTATAGGATACAACAAAGCCAGAGGATGCTATTTCCACACCTCCCATGTAGGTTTTATCTTGGATAAACAATTTTTTTATTTGTTTCTTAGAGCTTACCTCATACGTAACAACACATTCTACAGACTGGTGGTCTTCTATCCCCACAATCCATTTCTCCATTACAAAAGGTGGCTGAAAAAAACATGGTGGGAGTTTTATAAGGTGCTCTTCATCCCCTGACTTGTTTCTGAAACACCTCAAAGAGATTTTCAACATTTGCCTTTTTTTATCCATTTCCGTATCGTTAACACCAATACTTTTAAAATCTTATGAGACAAAGCAATACATTTTGAAATTATATACTTCCTTGCTTACAAAAGGAAACTGAGAAGAGATTTCTAAGAATAACAGACAGTAGGTGAATCAACACTGAATGTTTTCATGGGGGCATAGACCTTTTTCATTTTTGTGCATGTATGGTTTTTTTTCTCCTAGACTTACAGAGGTCAGCAAGAACAAATGTCTAGAGATTCTCAGAGATATTCCCTGACAGATATAAAAATGTTGAAGTATGTGAAAAGTTAATGTTATTGTATATATTTAACTTTAAGCCTTTTTCTTTTTAAGGCAAAAATTAACACGTCCAAGACGAAAATTAAACAGAAAACTATTTTGCAATAAAATGATAATAATAATAATAATAAAAAAAATAATCATCATCATCGTTATCTAAAAAAATCACAAGTGTGGTTCCACAAATCACTAACTATAAAAATAGTATTAGCATGAATTAAATATTAAAATCCCTCTTGGCAGATACTCGTATTTTCACATTTCCTTAAAATTCTGACTGTTGAGAATCTGATTTTCAGTTTTTCCTTTAGAAAAAATAACCAAAGGTTCCACCGTATTTGGCCCAAAAAATTCACAGCTAAAAGCATTTAGGAGTTTGGGGTTTTTCATCAGTGCACATTAGAGCAGCATTCTACTTGATAATCAAGGTGTACATTTTTTCATTTAGAAATTTATTTTGTTAGCTATTATCAAGTGGAGCATATTAATAAAAACAAACAATTAAAATAACAGCAAACAGAATGCCCTCTGCATTAACAAAGCTTCTGTTGCTTAGGGTAAAAGAAGTCTAAATGCTGGCCGCTAAATATTTACAGGCAGGTTCTGAAATAAGGTAAAATGCCCAGTGACACTGAATTGCAGATGTTCAGTGCTGTACTGTCGGTTGATGGGTTTCAGTCTTTGCAACCCATTGTTGCATGAATGAGGGAGTTTTAGAACCATGTAGAAGTTATAAAACCATGTCAAAAAAAAAAAAAAAGGAGAAGAAAAAGCCCAACCCAGACAAATCACATGAAGTTTCAAACTGGAACATTTAAATCACTTTCTTCTCTTGAAAAGGAAAGTAATTTTTGGAACATTCTTTTATTTAAAAGGGGTAATAAATTCAGAGGATATAACATGGAATTAAAACAAGAAAATAGAAATTCGTTCCTTCTCTTATTTTTCTATTGTTAACATTATTGTCAGCTTAAAAGAGAATCAAAATACCTAACTCCTATTATGATACAAATCTGTTTAAAATGTGCATTTTATTTAAAAGCTGTCAAGAGACTGAGCTTCCACAAGCACAAAAGTCAACTGCTGTGGTATTTTAATGTCTTTCTTTGAGATCTGTGAATTTGTGAAAGCTTTAAGGCTGTAAATACCTTTGTCATCTTTAAAATCTCTACATCAGGTAGGTTAGTGTTGAATGTCACATCTTTTATGTAGGTTATTGCAATTTCATCCCCGTCCATCTCCATGTACATTTTCCATTTACAATCCTATGAATAATAAAAAAAGAATGCTGGATTGTTAGAATACAAATTAAAAAAAGACCAACAAAATGAAACAAAACTGAAAGCCAAAACAACCCAAAACCTAATCCTCAATATATGGGGGAAAAAATAACCCAACGAGAAAGATAAGGAACATATACATCTCTTAGGGCATCCACATTTTCCAGTAAAAGTGTTGGTAATGGGAAACCCTCGGGTTCTCTTGTTAGCTCTCCTCTTAGCTCACCCTGAGAGGCAGTCGCCACATTGACAGGTCTGGATGTCTTCGGAGCTGTGGAAGCCCTGAAGAGCCCTGGGAGGACAGTGACTTCCCCCACCCGGCCGGCCGGCCCGTTTGGGCGGGCGGTGGGGGCCGTCACTCAGGGTCACAGCCCGTGCTGGCAGTCGGCCCCAAGGACATCTTCCCGGTGAACCCAGGAACAAATGACCAAAGGGTCTGTGAAACACCGTGAAGACAGTCGCTCAACCAATGGGCAAGAGGATGAGCTGGTTATTACAGCTCAATTATTTCAGATACTGAGTGCCCAGCGGGGCACTGAGCATCCTCAACTTCCGCTCACCTCCAATTGCACTATTAATTACAAGCAAGCTCAGCTTGGAAAATAATCATAGTGAGTCTAATAAACCAAAGCAATGAAAGGTATCCTTAAGTAATCCCATGAGCTGAACGTGGGGCCAACATCCAACACTTTGCACAGGTGTGAGCCTGCAGAAGCTGATGGCTCTGGCAGCATCCTGCAGGACATCCTGCGTGGGCTGCGGGCTGGGACAGGGGTTTGTGCCTGTGGTCAGGGAGGCTCCCACTGGGGACCAGAGACTGCCTGTCCATGGTGCAAACCAGCCAACATTTGCTGGTGTGCCCGGCAGGTGCTTTGGGGATTAGATACTGTCTGGTGCACTGAGCTCCTCCAAAAATCAGTCCCCTGAGGGACAACAGGGCTTCAGTGAAGCAGTGTCTCCATCTGCATGCAGGAAGGAGGGGATCTGCCCTTTGCAGAGACAGAAGCTCCTCCAGACATGCTGGGGTTCAGGAGGGTCTGTGGCCGCCACACGCTGCCGGCTGGGCAGGTGCGGCCTCAGCCTTTGCAGGAAGCAGTCTTATCCTCAGTTCTGCTCAGAAAATGCAAAAACTTTCAATGGGACACAGATGGCCGCTTAGGGCCAAGGGCTTGCGTAAGCAGTTATTTGCACACACAAATGTACAGCAGCCTAAAAAGTATCCGTTCGCACATGCGATTATCTGCTAGTGTTTGCACGTGCATCTCTCATAAATGTAACGCAGGAGCTCAGCCCTTAGAAGTCTCAAAGCTTTCAATCAGGCATTGAATTGGCAATTCCAAGATAAAAGAAAACTGGAGTATAATCATTTCTGAACTGCAACAACAAATTATGCTTATGAAAGCATTTGGCCCTGTGTGTCCATCTGTCCCCATTGAAAGCTTCCATGTTTCATGGGCAGAGTGGACGTGTGAGTTGGTTTTCACATCACCGCGGTGCGAGTTTGAGCAATGGGAACCGCAGTCCAGCAGTCAGGGCAACGGACCGAGACTCAGAGGCACCAAGTTCAGTTTCCAGTTCTGCCGTCAGCTTCCTGCACAACCCAATAAGGTGCCAAAGTTGCCCTGTGCCTCCTTTTCCTAATCATGGACTGTATCTCTTTGCATGTCCTTTTTCTGTCCTACTTTTTTGGGTTGTGAGTTAACCCAGGGTTACGCCTGTCTCTTCCCAGGTAGGTACGGCACGTCGCACCGGCCCTGACGTCAGCTGAGGACTGTATGTGCTATGTGACTGAACAGCAACAGCAAAGCAAGTTGTCTTTGATTCCTCCTCGCCTCTCCAACTGTGCTCCTCTCCCTGCCCACACCGTCCTTGTTGCCAGACTTTTTTGCAGGACTTCATGCTACCTGGATTCCCTGTTGCGGATCAAACCCAAGGTTAGAGACAAGATGCTTGATGACATTTTAAGTTTTACAAAACCACCTCAGCCAAGGAAGGAACAAAACATTGACATAAAATACTGTCCTCCAGTTAATTCAGCGCTGCTCCTGCCGTGAGACCACTGCCAAGCACCTGAGGGCCAGAGCCACACCTTGTGCCAGGGCTCCTGTGCCTTCACGACTCAGGATTTTGTGCTGTTCGCTCACATCTCCCTACAGACCAGATCTGACAAATGTGAGCTCATTTTAATAAACAACATAAATCAAATGACCATCTCTAAAGAAAAGGCTGACCAGCTGTGTAAATCCAGGGTCTGGCAGGCGGTGGGCACCTGCGAGCGGTCGTCCCCTCGCCGGTCCCGACACGCATGCAGGAGCCCTCTCCGTGCGGTAACGAATCAGGCTGCCCCACGCAGCGGTGGATGTATGAGCCCTGCACAAACACCGCCTTCCCTGGCTCAGAACTGCAGCTTCAGAGAAAGAAATACGCTCTCCCATCCTTCAAATCCAGCCCCTAAACCTTCGGTCCTCCTTGGGAGTCCTCTCCAGCCACACTGTGCAGATACCAAAAGGGCAAATTACCACACTAAGCATACCCTCTTTGGTCACTCAAAAATACGTGTCTCGTTTTATTTGTAAAGGTTTTCGTTTTGCATTATTGTAAAATCATGAGCAGAAGGGGGGAAAAGGAGAGAGAGAGAGAGAAAGACAGGGAAATAAAGAGAGGAGAGAAAGGGAAGGAGAGGCTGGGAGAAAAAAAGATAGAAAAGACAGAAAGAAAGAGAGAAGGAAGGAAAGAAAAGGAAGGAGAAAAGACAGCAGCTAGGTGACTTTTGAATCAAGGTACTTGGGAAATATCTAAGATAAGTAGGTGGCTACTTGTCTTACAAACTTGGTAACTGTTTTGTTCAACCACACAGTAAATAATGCAAGATTTGTGTGCTGCATATTCCCTGTTTTCCAATCGAGTTCTAGGTTCTTATTTAGCAATGAATAGGAGAGATGCTCAGCCACTTAAGCAAAAATTTGGCTAGAGTAACCAATTATACACATTTCAATTCTTTGATGAATTGGAGCCATAAGATTTCTTGGATTGAGACTACATTTAGTGACAGACGTATGTGAGAAAGTAATTTGGAAATGGCTTGTTCAAAATGCCTGTTGATAAATATATTTATACAAGTCCTTCAAAGATATTTCCCTGGACATCTTGTAATTCAAATATTAAAATATCTCCCAATATTTACCTGCTTAATTTTCATTTAAATAAAGAATTTCAGCTTTTGGGGTTTTTTTGTTTGTTTGTTTGTTTTTGTTTGTTTTTTAAAAATCTAGTTTCAGAACTGAGAGGCACAACCAGCAAAACTGTGTGTGAAAAACATTTCCGAATAACACTTGACAAAGCCAATAAATCAGCAGCCTCTGCAAATGATGGTAGAAAAGAAAAGCAAATCACACATGTATTTTAAGCCACTTCTCCTCAGCTTCAAAACAGAAAATAAGAACACTTTAAAAATTAAGTCTCCAGCTTACTGTGGTGACAATACTCCTTTAACCCCGTATGCGCTAATGTCTACAACAAAAATCGAAAGGGAAATGAAAAAGATCAGGCAGGGGCTTTAAACAACAAACATGCCTCCTGCAACCACAGCTTAAAACTCTTGCTGGTGAGACACCTCATTTTTCAAGGATGCCCAAATCTAGGACACGTTTTCAAATCAGTGACTGCAATAAACTTTTTTTTTTTAAGACTGAAGAAAAAATGGAAATGGCATTGTAGCAGGCAACTGAATATTAGAAGAAAAGTAAGATGTAATGCAAGATGAAACAAATATGAAAAAAATGCTGGTCATGCTGCTACTAAAAGTAGTAGCATGTTGATGATTTAGGTCCCCAGAAGCTCCTTTACATTCTTAGCTATTATCTATCTCAGCTGCTGAAACCTGCTGTTTTAAAGGCATTAGAGTTGAACATCTAGTGACAGCACTTGGGTTATTTATCATTATGTATCAGCCTGCTACACTATATTTTATTATTCTGGATTTAAAGGAAGATAACACAATTATGGTTAATTTGCTTCTCTTCTTTATATATATAGTGTCATGACCCACCACGGCTTTGTCCCATGAGATATTTTTAACCAAAAAGAAATCCACAAGAAACTCTCCCTAAAAATTCCATTAATAACCTCTTGTAGCGTGTATAGGTTGCAGGGTCTGGAACGGAGAATGTTTTAATCTCTTCAGCAAAACAATGTCTCATAATGATGTACAGGACTATTGCTGCACTGATGAAGAATCATACATAATTCAGCACCTTTCACTTGGCACCACTGTGATATCCTCATTAGCAGTGGCTCACAGTGGCTGTCAGATGGTGTCCATGCGAATGCAGGCATTATATTGTCTTTGAGATGTGCAGCTGCTTCCATGACACTGCCAGTATATAAAAACATGACGCCAGTTTGTTTTATTTAGTGCTAAACCTTCCAGTTTGTAAAAACAAGGCTGACACAGAGCCTGACATGAGGCAGTGAAAATAATTAGCTCTCATTTTCTCAGCCTCCTATTTCCTTCTCCCCGCTGTGTTCTCTTTCCACTAAACCACCACATGTCAGTCGAAATGGGAGGCAATTAGTGGGCTCATTTCAGTCCCCACAACTGTGCTGAAAAGAAAGTATTTATGATGGCACAATGAACAGCTGAAAGATTAAATAACATTTGCCTTTTGAAAAGAAAATGACTTCTAGCTAAATGGGCAATTTTTGATTATTCTCAAACAAGCTTAGAGTAGTTGGTTTTTAAAATACAAGAAAGGAAAATGAGTCATTTTTAGGTGAAAGAATCAAATAAAACTTGACACAGTAATGCAAATAACTGATGTTTTATTGCAAAATATGTAAATGTGTTATACCCTTAACAATGGCTGGTGTCTCAGGTCAGGGCAGGCTGTTGCCAGCCAGGCTCCAGCGAGAGAAGGTGGCTCCACCGCCGGTTTTGTTTCAGCTGTACAGGCAGAAAAAAACAAGGGCGGAGGGGAGGCCTTCGA